AAAAGGGATTACTATAGATTTTTCAGTTAAACGATTAGCAATCTGATTAAAGATTTAAATTAGAACGCCTTGCACTTATGTAAAATATTTAGTTAAATCGTGGACAAGGGGTGAATTTAGGCGCAAACTTAACATAAATATGTTCTCAAATCTATACTATAATAAAAACGAAACCGATCGATGTCTGTAGATTGAATATATATAAAAAAAACTGTTATGAGGGACATTTATAAGTGTAATAGAACACAACATACAGTGATTTTTAAATTTTTTGTCTGTTTGTCTGTTTGTCTGTGAGTTTGTGCACGATAATCTCAGAAACGGCTGAACCGATTTAAATGCAGTTTTCACTATTATATTGTGGCATTCTTCCGTTAACATTTAGTGTAAGATTTATTTCAATCGGTTCACAAATAAAAAAGTTATGCCAATTTGAAGTGACGTGGTCGCCAAAATTGCTATGAAATATTTACTGTTTTATTAAATTTTCGCCTTTGATATATTGATCATCATCATTAACTCTTTCACAGCCAAACTGCAGGGCCTCAGGCCTTTGGTTAATAATTTTTGGTCACCCATCCCGTGAACAACTCTTGCGAAAATTGCTTAGCAATAACGATCGTGCGCAGCAACGCATATCCGTAGCGCCACCGAGCTACGAATTAATATTGTCTATAAAATGATAATTTGTATGATGACAAATAAAAAAATAATATTCCAAAATTTTGACAATTCCGAAGTAAGTTGACCTCATTTATATATGGCCAATCATATTAAATAGGGTTCAACTTATAATAGACATGTGGTATACGATCACGCGAGTAGAAGAACAAGCGAAAAGAGCCTTCCGATGATGCAATTAAGCCTCAAGTAGTTTACAGTGAACGCATATTTTTATCAGATTACCCCACATTGTCGTCGGGGTCAGCGGAGGTGGTTGGCAGCCGCTCCCGCATTGCATGGTTTCGTCTGTCTGGGAGAGGCAATCGATTTACCCGAGTCTCTCCAATTTTCCATCTGCAAGGGGATCAATGGTCCAATACTTGAGTGTCCTGGTGACTCGGCCATAGCTTACCAGTTTTCATTTCCCATGAGAGGGTGTAGAGTACGGGTTTTGGTGGGCAGGCCTCTGGGGACCCACCGGGCAGCTCACTGTAGGGTTCACGAAGGAGAATCCTACTCACCTCTGTTGTTTGCCAGGTAACAGAGACAATGTCAGTAGTTTTCCACGATGTTAAAAAACTTAGATTCACGTCAACTGAAATTAAGAACGTAAAGACAACTCGAGTTATATATCTTTTTTTCTCTTATTGCTATTTTTTTATGTTAATACTCTTTTTGTTTTTTTTTTACATACGAATTGCTGTAGATACGTACTTCAAAGTTGGTATTTTCAGTCTTCGCTGGAAACAATGCTTTATTCATTGGTCACAACACTCATATAATATTACGCGAGTCTGAGGGTCGGTTCTAAGTAGCTCGGTGGCGTAGTGAATAAGCGCCGTGGCCCGCGATTGTAGTTGTTAAGCAACTTTCGCAAAGGTCGGGCAAAAATATTATCTCAAGCAACTCCAAGCTTCGGAAAACACGAAAAGCGATTGGTCCCGGTTGTATATGCAGTCATTAATATTCTCCAATCCACATTGGACCAGCATGGAGGGTCGTGGCCCATCCTCTTTAACCATCCATAAGGAAGGACTGAGCTCCTGCAGTTGGTGACGTAAAAGGGCTGATGATGATGATGATGAGGGCCATTCAAATCTGTCAGAAGCTCAGTTAAGCACCTCACGGAAGTATGTTAGTAGACGATTTCCTTCGAGTGTGGAAAGTCGAAATTAAAATATGTATATATTTTTTTATATCAATAAATAAAACTCCACGTATCTTCCGTCAGACATGTACTGACCGACCTTTATAGACAAAGAAAGAGATCAGACAGAAAGCGCTCGGTCTCGGGAGACACCTGAAAAACGCGAAGCGTATTTAACTGCCCATCGCGAGGCTCATGCACTATAAAGTTGAATCTGAAGCATTTTCATACATGCAGTATGGTATGAGTATAAAACTTCTTTTGATAGGGAAATACGCTTGGTCTCTTAAAGAGCTCGCAGTTTGCACAATATGTAGAGATCGAGAAAGTAGTTTCGATTATCGCCAACCCGTGTTGACTTCATACTCCACAGGCGTACCGCAGTTAAGTTTTCACAGGGTATAATGAACTAGCTACTTTTCCCACGACTTCGCCACAAAATTAAAGCCTATGACATGCGCGTCTGATGTAGCTTCCCGTAGGTCGGAATCGCTCTGCAACTATCGGTCCAGTAGTATTGGAGCAAATTCGATGTCTCAGATACTCCATAATACGGGGGCTTTAGCTATTCATCTTGGAATCTGAGCAATGTATGTGATGTTGTTAAATATTTATTTATTAAACAAACAAACAACCAAATCTTTCCTCTTTATAATATTAGTATAGCTTAGGTATAAGGGGTACGATGGCGTAGTGGATTAGCGCATTCGGTTTAAATTGCAGTTAAATAAGTTAGTAAATACTGCACAACAAGAACATACGTGAACAAACTCATCGCTAGCCGGCAATTTCTTCCAGGCAAACTAGCATTAGATGAAAAATAGAACAATAAATAGAAGATTGTGCATACAACTAGACAAATAATAATAATTTAAAAAGATCAATTTAAAACGTTTAAAGGTATGAATAAAATGCTCAGACACAAGCGACAACCAGAGCGCGAGAAACTAGAAAAAAATAGAAAAATAACATTCGTAAGGACCGTTTACAGGACGCCCAGATCCGAAGACTTCAAACCGCGACCAGAGTGAGCTTTATTATATCTAAGAGAAGCTGATAACACTAAGTCCCGAATACGAGGTGTAGAGAAAGTAACTACAATATTTCGTGGTCTGCTGGTGGTTTTATTTAGTTTCGCCACTCTACGGTAAGAGTTGACCTGGCTATCTTCCATTTGCACTTATTTCATGAACTATATAATAATTTCGCATAGTTTCATGAACAATGACAATACATTCTCGTTCTTATGTTCCGGTACAGCTTGTAATTCAATGTTACAGTTGCGCGGCATCTTTTCTAATCCAGTAAGACGGATATTGAGTTTGTTTAATTGCAACTGAAGTTGAGCATTTTCACTCTCTTGTTTTATAGTATTAGCATGTTTTGTAATTTCCTTACGCATTGACGACTGCTCAACACATATTAAAGTAGTGACGGTGAACTTATCCTTGACAGTCTGAATTACAGAATCCATTTAATTTTTTACTATTTCTTTAACATCATTCGACAACGTCTTACGAAAAAACTCCATAAAAATGGAGAATGATGTATGCAATTTATCATAAAGAAGAGCACTTATCTTATCCATCGTTACTTCACATTTAACGATCTTACCAGAGGTTTTAGTTGCGGACGACGGGGGTGGCGATATAGTAGTGCTGTTGTTAGTCACATCGTATGCAGATAATAATTTGAATGCATCATCGAAACACTTGCTCGAACGGGTGTGTTATCATGCTTTTCCTTAAAAACAACACTAACAATTCAATTCACCACAAAATAAGAAGTTTCAGGCAGACAAAAATTTAGATCAAAATATTATATGTGTAACATAGATCGCAGTGCTTAATAGAGTACGTCAACCTCAATCCATTACCCAACCCAATCTAGATAGAACGAAAGAATTCCGAGTCAAAAACTATATCCAGTTTAGGCAAATAAGAACTAACATTATTGTATGCAGCAGAAATGCGAGGCAAGGGTGAATGCCTAAAAACATTAGTCCAGGACGCGAGAGTAAGAAACGGTTTGGATATAGGTTTCCTTGGTATGGTAAGTAGTTACAGAATTTATATATATATTAAATCTCCTCGATGATAAGCTAGCGGGTGGTATCAGCGGGTATACAAAAATAAGGGATTTGATAACCCAAATGATCAAAATGGAACGAACCATATTTTAGATAGATTCATATTCGGGGCATCGGTGTATCAAATTGGTGACCATTATAAAGCTATATATCTGTTTCCACGAGTTCGCCTGCGTAAATTATAGCCTAAGTTATGATGTTTAGGTAAAAGAATTTTTAAATTATCCGAAGATTTGAAGCAAATTAAATGCAAATAAATTAACACTCAAATCTTTCCTCTTACAATATCAAAAATAACCTGTAAGTGGAAAGAGTAATATGAAAAAATTTTTCTTTACTCGCATGTTTTACAATAAAAGTGCGTTTTCCGAGTATATAAAGTATGTAGTGAAATATTATACATACCTAATTGTATTTTTACTTTTTATGTACAGTAGAATTGGGTTATTTAGTATTAAATCTCATTGGTGACCTTTCAGATTTCACAGAACTTTTCCTTCATTTACCTTCGCATAACTTTGGGAAACATTGTCTAGCTACATACGATTTAGCAAAACAAGTAAAAATAAAAAGGTAAACCTTAGTAACTATTATCGAATAGCTCCCTATGCGTAGATTATTTCGATAAAATTTTGTAATCGTCTGTACTAAATTATCATAATTTTATATAGATTAATCAATCGATCATTTGCGGCATGATAAAAAAAAGTGCATTCTTCATCACTTATTTCAATAGCGCATTCGATATTGCGCAGAAGTCTCAATAATCATATATAAATGGTTAATTTACTGCTTTAATTTTTAAAACGTTAAAGTTAAAACTTTTGTATCAATAAATTTTAGAAAAGCGCATTTTAAAAGAAAGTAACAAATTAAGGAAATATTAGAAGCGTATAACATTTAATATTTCGAAATACGCTCGATACAGATGTTATTTAATGTCAAATTTATCACAAAATTAAACAACAAAAACAAAATAAATACCCAAAAAATTATAATACATTTCAAAACCTCTTTTTTTTATTTCAGTCTACAAACGGTGTAAATGGCGAAAAAACAGAGGAGTATGTGAATAAGGCATATCAATCAGATGCCTTTGATATGGCTCCAAACCAGGAGAAAAATGACATAGAGAAAACAGACAATAAATCAAAAAACAATAAAGTAAGTAAGTTTTGTAGAATAAACATAATATTTCTTGAAAATACAAAAAAAGTAATAAATTATACAGCATATTCATTTAATAGAAGAAGTGACACTGCTAAATGAATAATCACATCTAAAAACATTATTTAACCTTATTTTTGTGTGAATAGGCAAAAAAAAAACATTTTGATATTATGCTATTTTGAATAACTGATAAACACTGTCATATTAAAATTGCATATTAATACGTTTTTCTAAAAATAAATGTGTTCATAAGAAATGAATTCATTTCTAATAATTTTCAATGTGACGTCCATCGGAAAATCTAGTCGTGTTTTGTTTTGAGTTGGCGGAATTTATTTCCACATCACCCAAAGGTTGACAGCCAGAGAATGCCCAAGGTATTAAGTCGGCTTTTATTTAAGTAGTAATTAAATAAATTAACGTTTCTACTTGCAACCAAAAATATTAAACTGGAAACTTGTAAAGCCGTCCATATTAGCATTATAAACATTGGCTCATAATATCTCTTATTTGCCGTAAGTTGTTCAAAGTAAAACATAGTTTCGGCATTATTTCGATGTCCATTCCTGCAACGATATAAATTATTATAATAAAATTATAAAGGCATTTAATTTGCAACATATTTTGATTTAAAAAGTAATAAAATTGACGTTTCAAGCGCCCGAAACTTAATTCGGCTATTTGTAATAGTATTTGTCTAAGCATTGATGAAAATGAAAAAATGAAAATATCTTTATTCAAGTAGGCTATTACAAGCACTTTTGAATCGTCCAAAAAACTTTTTTCCCCTACCACTTGTTCAGGACGTCTTTTAGCTGACAAGAAGAACAAGCGAAAGAAACTTATCAGCTTTTTATCATAAGTAATGACATTTACATAAATCATGTCATTACCAAAATAATATGTATTATCAATTTATCACAATAGTAAATACAACTTTCAAAGTCTGTAGGACATAAGTTGAACATATAATTAGTCGTTATAGAGCAAAGCGAAGGATATTAATTCCATGTATTGCGATCCTTAAAATAATCATCAACTTTATAATAGCCTTTACTCACAAGTATATTCTTTACATGAATTTGAAATTTATTTATGGGTAGGTCAATTACATTTTGTGGAACTTTATTGAACATAGCAATACATTTACCCAGAAATGATCCTCTGGTTTTTTGAAGTCTGAAGCTTGGAACGGCAAGTTTATCTTTATTTCTTGTGTTAAGATGATGAAAAGTAACAAGTAGGTGCAATATTTCTTTCAACAATATTTATTTAATTTCGTAATGTCTATTTAACTAGGTACAAATATAAATTAGAAATGGTTAAATCTAACGTTGTTGGTTGGATTGAAGTGCGAAACGTCTCAATAGCAATGTCGATCGGTGGCGATTGTGATCGGGAGTAAAGGGGCTGGCCCGAATCTAGAGGGGGCAAGTGGGCGCCAGTGTTAGGGGGACGCCAAAATCATAATTATTTAATACCTATATACTTTACTAAACCCTTCATACACTTTATAGGCTATGTTGATTCTATTAGTATTTTTCTAATTGAGTCCAACATCCTATCTAAGAATGTAACGGCTCCGGGCTACCTTTTATATTGGTAGTTAAGTGAAAAGGCAGCCTAGTCAGCCTTTTCATTTACAGCGACTAGTATATTTATGTAATATAAACAGTTTGTTCTGCGATATAGCGTTCGGTCTCTCTGTCTATCCCGCCTGGGATACGGCGTGATGATAGTATAAGTAAATAAAACACTGTGCAAAATACGCTAACGCAGAAATATTTAATACCAATTTTGTTTTCATAGATATCAAAAGAAGATCGTTCTGTAGAGCGGCCAAAATGGGACAACCAACTTGAATTCTTGATGTCATGCATCGCCACATCGGTGGGGTTGGGCAACGTATGGCGTTTCCCCTTCGTCGCTTACGAAAACGGAGGCGGAGCATTTCTTATACCTTATATCATAGTCCTCCTCGTTATTGGAAAACCTATGTACTTTCTTGAGACTGTTCTCGGTCAGTTTAGTAGTAGTAATTGTGTCAAAATATGGGCTCTCTCCCCGGCTATGAAAGGTAACCGTATTAATAAGTTTTAGTAAATTATAAAATGAAATTTTATGACTTTGAATCTACGTTTTAATAAAAAAATATTCTAATATTTACAAAATTACATACTTTTAATTATAAAAATCACTTAGTATATACACAAAATATTGTTACTTTAAATTTCAGGAACTGGATACGCTCAGGCTTTGGGCTCGTCTTACGTATTGTCTTATTACGTGTCGATTATCGCCTTGTGTCTCTATTACTTGGCCATGAGTTTTAAATCCACATTGCCTTGGTCAGTTTGTAATCCTGAGTGGGATCGATATGAAAACTGTGTACCATCAGGACAACCCGCTCCCACAGGCATGACAGGCAACTTATCGAGTAGTGCAGAACTATATTTTACGTAAGTAATATATTATACCTACTAGCAGTTTTCCCGCGATTGCGCCCGCGTAAATAATAGCCTATGTCATCCACATATAAAGTAGTTTCCCATAAGTGAAAGAATTTTAAAATAGGAAATACTTTATTTACACCAAATGTCACTTTTCGCCAGGTAAGAGTAGGATATCGTATGGGTGAACCCGATAAGTGACATTTTAGTGCAGACAAAACGTTATTGAGTCATCCATCATCCTAAGCGTGCAGTAGTTTCATAGCCTATTCCGTAAAAATATGTATCGTTAGATTAAAATCATAAATAAGTATCCAAGGCTCATTATTATTAGAATTATAAACAAGCGTAGGTTTAGGTTAGGTAATCACAGAAAATTTTAAAAAATATGCAAACTGCTGACGGTGTTTACTTCTGCATATATATTCATTGATCTGCAGGGTTATTCTATGATTTGATCAAATAAAACCTACTTAGCTGAAAAACAGTGTTTTGCTCTCTCTGAATGAAAGTATCGCTGAGATTTTACCTGTTTGCATCGATGTAACACACGGAATAAAAATTTGGTTGCGATGCAAATAAACGCCTTTATCTACCGGTATATTTTAAAAGGTATAAAAAGAGTTAATTAATTGGATTTAATATTATAAAGAGATGAGATTTCATTATATGTTTGCATCATATACGCGGGTGATCTCGCGCTAAAACAGCTAGTTTAATTGGTGAATATCCTATTTTTTGTGATTGTACGTTTAATCTAATCTTTATTCGAATATGTAGTAATGTGATTAATTAACATAGTTAAGTGTCATATGTGCATGCGCCGAATAAATGAATTAGAATTAAACCCAACCAAACGGGGAAGACGCGTTATGCTACTCTTTATCAATTAAAATGAACTATTTATTCGCCTGTTCGATGCTGTATTTTTATCCGACTGTGCGACGCAAAGGAGGGTAATGTGTTTATCAGTCTATGTATGTATGTATGTTCTAGAGACCAAATGCGTAGGCCGATTTTGATGATTCTTACGTCAATCGATTCGTCTTAACATGCGAGTGTCACTAAAGACATGACAGTAATCAAAATTCACCACAGCGACAACCAGACGCCATATTGTCTAAATGAAAAAAATAAAAATCGATGAACTATGTCAAGTGGGGTGTCGTTTAATGGGTATTTTAAAATCATCTTTAGGTTCCTTTTATCAATTTTCATTTTAAATAACATTTTAGAATATATATCGATTTAGAGTTGTTTAACAAAACATTCTCGCTAATTTTCTTACTTATTGATTAAACTTATTGATTAAAGTATATTTCAGTATATTGCTTTACATTACATTTCTTTCTCGTCATATAGGCACCTCATTTGGTGCCATGATAAGATTACGATCTCCATACTTATTATATCTGTTAAGATATCTCCAGTTTCATTTCAGTATAAATACCTCATTATAATGATCTTATTTGATAAGGTCATATAATTCCTCAATTTTTTATAACAATATTAGGCAATTATGTCGATAATAATAATTATTTTCTTCATGTCTTTATAACCTTACTGAATTTAGTCAAAGATCTTTAAAGAATTGTATACACTAGAATTGTCTGCAAGTCCATATACTACAATATGTCACATTTCCTTAATTAATTGTGAACTCTATCAACAATGCATTAAAGTTTAAAATTTTGAAAACATTTTTATAGCCTGCCTGTACCTGAGTAAATTATACAAATAATGAATTTGATTACAGTGAAAATACGCTCTGTAGTAGCGAAAAGGTAACAAGTGCTTGAAAAATTCGTCAGTCCTGTTAGGTCCTTAGGTAAGGTAGCTACTGAGTAAGAGTAGCCGCCTGAATTGCGATAGGTCATGGGTTCGAGTCCCAGAGACAAAGTGGATTTATTAAGCATTTTTCATTAAGAATATTTTTAGTATAGCATTGTGAATGCAAAATTGATAAAATGTAATACAGTGATAAAATTGAAGGAAATTGTAATAAGAATGATGACAATTTTTTTTATTTACGTCATATTTTTTGCCTGTTTAATAAATAGACTTGAAATATCACACAATAACGTCTAAAATTTTTACTAAGGCTTTCTAGGATTTACATGATTATTTAGTTTGGTTGCTTGGAAAATTAATAAAATAAATGGTTCCTACTAAAGATAAAGCTAGCAGTGAAGTAAACCGTTGTAATTACTTTTACAGACAAACGGTTCTGCGACAGTCTAATGGAATCGATGACGGAATCGGTAAGTCCAGAACTAAAGCGTCAGCTTTGTGTAGCTCTTGTCACGAACAAATTTAAATTCACGACATAAGCTAATGTAATCAGCCCCCCAACTAAATATGTGAAACGAATCCGCGTAACCACACTTGGAGCGGAGCGGGGCAGGTAGGGCTTTTTGACTTGTGAAACGTAAAAAAACATAAGTTATAGAGAATAATTAGTTGAGATTTTGGACTTTTATTAATTCAGAAACCAGCCTGTAGATTTTGAACTTTTGAAGATCTTTTCTATTTCTTATAGCTACTTTCAAACTTTCTCATACTGACTGTTCCTAATGTTAAATCCTCTTTAATTGAATATAATATATATAAGATATCGCTGACTACCGACTACTTATCAAGCGATAGTTTGATTGGATTTTTAATCAGTTTGCGATTATATGTCTAGAGTCTGGGAGGTATTAAATGTTATCAAAAGAAAGAAAAAAACGAAACTATTTCTCCCACACTAATACAGCATTTGAACGTTTACAGGTGCACCTTTATGGGACTTAACTTTATGTCTGTTGGCGTCATGGATTATAATTTTCGTCATAGTAGCTCGTGGTGTAAAAAGTTCCGGAAAAGCTGCTTACTTTTTGGCCCTATTCCCATACATTATTATGTTCATATTATTTATCAGGTGAGACGAGTCCTTCTCCAATACTCGATTATGTATGTTTTAAATAACTATTCAGGTTATTATAGCGACATTGCATTTTCCTACAGAGCAGTAACATTGCCTGGAGCTGGCAAAGGAATTCTGTTTTTCATTACACCGGATTGGAATAAAATTTTTGAGATAAGTGTAAGACATTTCTTAGTCGATAATTAACTTCTATTATTTTTTACCGCAATATTTTCCTGTTTGTAATTATTTTTTCAGGTATGGTACGCAGCTGTAACACAAGTCTCTTTCTCTCTTTCCGTATGTTCTGGTTCCCTCATTATGTTTGCTTCGTACAACGGATTTTCTCAAAACGTTTACAGGTGAGAATAATTTGTTAATATTATATTATTACACTGTAAGACCTTAAAATTTTGTCTCTCATTCTCTCTCTGTCTGCCTACACCACATTGGACCGGCAACTTGCGCTCCTTCTCTATAATTCTATCATTCTGTGTACTTCGTATCTATAATTCTGTGATCTTAGAATCATTTTTATTATCTCCAAAACGAAGTTTACATATAGATACAGAAAAACTTGTAAAAAAATCCTATACTGTTTTTAATATTTAATATATGTTCGAAACTGTCGCTTACAGGCGAAATTTCGCAAAATTTTGATCAAAATTCATTATTTTTGTTAAATTTGTTTAAGGGATTCGATGATCGTCACCACTTTAGATACTTTCACAAGTCTGATATCGGGTATCACTATCTTCGGCGTGCTGGGCAATTTGGCAGAACAATTACAGTACGATGATGTTAGCCAAGTTATTGGATCTGGTGGAGCTAGTCTTGCCTTTGTCTCATATCCAGATGCTATAGCACAATCTCCTGTGCCACAGGTAAAAACAGAATAATATCCCCTTTATCACTCATTGAGTAAGTTCTTATTTTTAAATTAAGCCACTTTTAAATTTTTTACAAAAACTTTTTTATATGTTTTGAACCACTCACACTGAATTGTCGTATATATGATCGTTACTTTTTTCAAACTAATTTTCATCCCCAAAAAACTACGCAAAATTCTTGAATCATTTTTACGAAAAGCTTGCGTGAAAAAAGTTTGCATTGCAAACTCTATCTAGGTTCTTTAGCTCCCATTTTAAGAGTTGCTGACATTTACTAATGCGTATAACCTAAACGTATATGAAATTATTATTAGTTTGCTCCCACTTTGTCACCATCTCTGAGATCCCGGGGTCGATCCCGGTCGGGACAATGTAGAAAATGAAGTTTTCTATATTGTCTAGGGTTGGGTATTCCGGTACCTTTGTTGTCTCAGATACTCCATAATACGAGGCCTTTTACTCATTTTGAAATCTGAGCAATATATGTTATGTTGTCTTATACTTACTTATTTATTTCAGTCCTCTCCATCCAAAGGTTTTCTGGTAGAGATCGCAGCTAGCAATTTTTTTTTTTTCAATTTTGATTACATAAAAAAGATTACAATCGTTAACATCACATGTTATTAATTTTCCATCAATTGTGCATAATGGAGTATTTATCTCCAGTAAGGATAGTGAACTCGTATTTAAATTACGGAATTTATTTGTAGCTTTTCGCGGTACTCTTCTTCCTGATGATGGCGGTGCTTGGTGTGGGTTCTGGCGTGGCTGTACTTTCAACTGTGAATAGTATCCTGCTCGATTCTTTCCCGCGTGTCCCCACAATAGTGATGTCAGCAATAGCTTGCTCAGCTGGATTTGGCGTTGGACTCATATATGTCACACCGGTAAAGTAATAAAATACTTATAAAGTATACAATCAGTGGCGTAGATATGGCCGAAACGAGTCCTCGCATTAAACGACCTCGCGAGGCTGTTTTCACTGACCTTCGCTACTGCCGATCGATAAATGGTATATAATAAATATTCAGAAGATAAGATCACAACGATAATGAAATATTGTATATACTCAAAAAAATGTTAGAGCAACATGGTTTTGCTTACTCATGATTGGGTAGACTAGAATGCTCTGGCGCTAGATACCCAATCAAGAGTACGAAACGGCATAATTGGAATGTCGATCAATCGCGATGGCGTTCGAGAGTAAGCATGCGGATGTATGAAGTAGATACCTAATCTGAATAGAACAGGTACAAATACGATATTTTTTGGTGCCTCTTATTGACATTATTCTACTGTGTTAGGTTGTCAGCGAGATCGAATAAATAGTATGCGTATGCGTAAATTCACTTACTGAAAGACTGCAACCTCTCTAACGCAACTTCACCTCTACATAGAACCTACGCTGCGCCACTGGTCCCAATAAATTTGTAACGGGGTTAAGGCTTGCTTAGATAATGGTAGTTAAATGAAAAGGTTAACTATGCCTGACAAGTATGTTTATGGTAAAATAAAAAACTGTAAAAAGAAATAAAAATAATATAAAACCAGTTCGTAATGTATGGTTCGTTATGTTTTACGGAAATTAGGTTACAAATAAATTTTCCTTAGAACATATGCAGACTGATACAAGTATTTCAGTCTGCATATATCATTTAAAGATTTGTACTTTAAAAATGTGACATTCAATGATAGTCGTGTTGTTGCCGTAAGAATTTTTTTACGAACTGACGTTCAGAATGAGCATGACGCGTTTCTAAAAATTTCAAATTACGAAAAGTGATTAATAAAAAAGAAATGATCATAAAGATCAGAGTCAAAAATGCGGGTACCGACGTATCGTTACAAATTAAAAGAAAAGCTTGAACTAAATCCAAAACCCATATAATATTATAAGGATTTAGATTACTATGAAAGTTTATTTTACATTGCAGGGTGGACAGTACATATTACAATTAGTGGATTATTATGGAGGAACTGTCATGAGATTGTTTGCTGCGATTACGGAAACTATTGGTGTGATTTGGATCTACGGTAGGTTTCTTATTAGTTATTCGTTTCTATATCCTTATCCTTCCTTTATTATAAATGCGTAAGTTTGTGTACCATAATCTTGATATAGCGGTCATTTTAACTCGATGACTTGAAATAATACGTCATGAATTCACCATGGAGGGTATTAAAAGTAAATCTTAAAAACCTGCTAAAGCGTTACATTTCAATCGCGTTCTATGCAATCATAATAATATTAATTAAGTATTTTTGGGGCTGATGATTTTGAAAAAAGACGGGTCGAAATTGTTGAGGGAGACCTTCTTGGATTAGGATCTTTTTAATTAATTTAAATTTAAATATTGACATTTTGACAATCTGTGCTGCACATGCGCGTCTATTGTTATTATATATTGAAAGTAACTCTTCGTAAAGCTATTGTCGGTGCTGTTTGTATTTTATAAAGTATATATTTTTGGTGGTAAATAAACTCATGTGATCTAAAAGCTCCCTGGTCTTTCTCTATACCCTTTTTACCATCGGGTATCAGAAATTAGATCATCAGATCTTTTCGAAGCCATAATCAATTCAGTTATGAAAAAGTAATAAACTTCAAGGCATAATATTTCACACGCTCATATGGAAAAGAAAAGCGTGCGTCGCCCGCGTGCTCCTGTTTATTTTATTTATTCCTGTATTATCTTATATTATATTATACATGTAAATTCCTCTTGAATCGCTCTGTATTTTGATAGAAACTGCATTAATATCTGGTGTGCAGCGTAGAGACAGCGAGAAGCAACTTTAATTTATACTATAAATAGATATTTACATATAACTAACACAATAATAACATATAAATATGTAATTAATAAAATATTATATATAAATAAAATAAAATAATAACTTACTAATGATTATAATTAGCACCATATTCTACCTTTACAAATATTTTCTTTTTTAGGACTGGAGAACATATGCTTAGACATAGAATTCATGTTAGGCATTAAACCTTCAATATATTGGCGTTTATGTTGGGCCATAGTGACACCGGTGATCATGATTGTCGTGTTCATGTACGCCATTATTACTACTGAAGCTCTGGTGTTCGGCGGCACCTACTTATATCCAAGTGGAGCTTACAGTACGTATCAAATTACCCAAATATATAATGTAAAAAACTAAACGATATTTAAAATGACAACATATTATATAATTTTTTATTTTTATTTAATAATTAAATGTTACACAACAAACAGTGCTCAGATTCCAAGAGTATTATGAAGTATCTGAGACAACGAAGGTACCACAACACCCAAAATCGAGACAATATAAAAAAGACAATTTTTCTACATTGACCCGACTGAGAATCGAACCCGGGATCTCAGAGATGGCGACAACTTGAAACCGGCGTGCGAACCACTCGGTTACGGATGTAATTAATGTACATTGTCTTTTCTACAAAGTTCTTTGGTCTAAAAAGGCAAAACAAGAGTAGGTAGTTAGCGCGTTTGATCAGCGATGCCAAAGTAAAGATTCTTTCGTAAGGACCACAAGTTTTACCCATTTATTATCCAGCGCGTATTTATTATCCAGTCTATCTCAGGGTATTGCGAGTAGTAAACATTTTTCATTAAAATTGTATATCAATATTGTGATTACAAAAATGATCAAATATAATAGCTGTTAATTATCTTCACACTAAAACAAATGACCAAATCCCAAATAAATTATTTTAGATTGATAGTTTGCTACAAGATTGCTACCATGTACCTTGTTTTTATTGAGTTCTCGATATTTCGGGGCTGTGGCGAGGGTGATGATCACGAGCAATTTAATATTCATTACAATAAGCTTGAAGTTATCATCACCAAACTAATCAAAACTAAATAATTTTTAATTTCTCTTTGCAGTTGCCGGTAACGCTCTACAATATATCGGTATAGCACTGATTCCAGCATTTATCTTTATTACTATGTGGAAATACAGAACTAGCAATTTTATCGAGGTAAGCTTTGTGCTAAAGCCGGATACGTATGACGAGTCGGCCCCCAAATGGGAATCGATATCGAAACTTATGTTTTAATATCGACTTGATGTTCAAACACGATTTATGTACTTTTCGCGACCGACTTCCGCTTTGACCTTGAGATAGAGAGCAAAATATCCGTATGCTTAACTATTACTGAATGTGATATATCTCTGAAGCTAATTAAGATAAAGAAGTGAAACTAACGCGAGGTGTTAGGTTACATTACAGAGTATATCACATATATTTTTTTATAAATTTAGAATAAAAAATTACATTAAAAAAATAAAAAATAAAAAAATCATGTTTTTTTTTCTGAGTTCTCTGTGACTTACAATCACGAAATTAATATATGTTATGCTCCTTTGTGTGCTCTATCACCCATAAAAATTGCGTGAAAAAAAAGTTGGTGCAACACAACGAAAAAAAATTATATGTGATTCGCGCCTTGTAGTGTGAGTGTATAAACAAACAAGTTCGAACTTGTTATCGCGCTGTTTACTGCATCGTTTGTTTAGCTAAAGTCGCAGTCATTTGTATTACACAAGAAGGCAGTTTGGGACTCAAATTCTGTCATAGGTATTTTGTATCAGCATTTTGAAATTATTAACTATCGAACCTAATCATTATTAAGTAATAATGTCGAGAAAGTGTAAAAATTGTAACAAGTACCTGTGTAAGATTCCTGGTTATAAAAAACATTATAAAGAATGAAGAAGAAGAACTAAAGTGTTTAGTGACTGTTTGAATAAAATCGTAATAGTTAATGATATTTTTTGTAAGAAGTGTCGACTTATCCCATATGTTAACAAAAAAGCTTCTACTTCTAAATGTGCAGCATTTAACTTGGCCGAAATTATGGACGATCAAAATAATCTCTCACGAGGGTCAAACTGAAAGTTCTTAGAAAATCAAAAACTGATTACATTAGCCAGTTATTAGTTTTATTATATCTTTTCAAAATATTGTCCATTCACGTCAATACACC